CACCTGATTCAGTAAGCACCTGATTCAGTAAGCACCTGATTCATTAAAAACCATGGTTTACCTGAAAAATCCTGTGCGGAAGCCATAATTTCTTAAAATCTGCTCAGTGAACGCACACGTCGAGCCCTGAAAGACAAACAGTTATCATCTGGATTCATGATGTAAATGTGTGTTATACATAATTTAATTAAAGCCAGGATCTTATATACCACACACTCATCTCACATAGCTTTTATATTCTGATTTTCACACAGCACATTATTTGTTTTAGAGATTTTTATTTATTTGTTCAGATTTCTGAAGAGATTTCTGTGTGTTAACATGTGTGCCCTTTGTCCTGTCTTCCTCCCCTCACCCCCAACCGGTTGAGGCAGATGGCAGCTCCTCCCTGAACCTGGTTCTGCCGGATGTTTCTTCCTGTTGAAAGGGAGTTTTTCCTTCCCACTGTTGCCCAGTGCTTCATCAAAGAGGTTTTGTCTGATTGTTGGGGTTTCTCTGTATTATTGTAGGGTTTTACCTTGCAGTATAAGGCCCCCTGTGGTGTGATTTGGTGTTATATAAATCAAATTGAACTGAACTTAATTCTAATTAATCCACAGAACGGGCCTTTCTGATATAAAGAACACCTAAATGTCAGCTCACCTTGCCCTTTGTTCCGGTCACATGAATGATATTGAGACGGTCAAGTTCATCCACCTTTCATATGCATACAAGCACAGACATCTAGTTCAGTTAAGACTGAAGGTGATAATTACTGTAACTGTGTGTAATCTCTGATGTCACTGCTGCTTTGATTGGCTCACCGTGAGGCCCGCTCGTTCCAGGAAGCCTCTCGTGGTCTTTAGCTGCAGGTGACGTTTGCTCTTTAGCTCCTTCAGGGCGGTAGCATAGGACTGCAACGTGTTCAGGGTGGAGATGGTGTCCTGTGGTAAACGTACAAAAGGAAGGACAGAAAAGTTCAAAAGTAACAAAAATGTGTCATCTGTACAGAAAAATGTCTGCATGAAATGATGAGAATCAGGACGTCAGGACAGTCTGATTGAAATGTAAATCAAATGGTGATAGAAAGTGAAAGAGTCTCTGTTTTCCTACTAGATTTTAGGAGGGGAAAGGGAACCTTTCCAAAAAGAGAACCAAGGAATGATTCATGCTTCATGATCAGCAAGTTGAAAAAGAAAAATTGTGAAAAAAGAAAAAAATAATAATAATGATATATTTTTTTAAAACAAGATTTTTCTTCTCTGGAGGTTCCAGAATATTTGCCAGTGCAGAATTCCCCCACAGATTTCAGACTTTTGGAGAGCCGTGTCCCTCTCCAATAACAAAAACCCCTGGACAGCACCAGCCTTTGCCTTGAAGCAGCAGCTCCACAGTCACAATAATAGAACAGCTGCTATAAAACACTAAAACAGAAGAAAACCTCAGCTTACCGTTTCTGTATCCATGTTATTGTTACAACGGCGACTCTGCTTCAGTCGCCGTTGTGTCAGTTTCTGTTACAGCAGGTATGCACTTGTCCGTCCGCTTTAAAACCCCGCCTCTGTCTTTGGGGCTTTCAGATATTTATCACCTTAGAAAAGCATCAGTTTTGCCCAAGGCATGTAGTAAAAGGATGTAAGAATATTTTCAGGTATCTCTACTTGAGGATTTATTTTTTTGTCAACCTTTTATTTTTACTCTTTATATTTTCAAATCAGGCTCATTACTTTAGCTTTAATTCATTTGAGGGAAGTTTTTATTGTGAGTCTTCAAACTGATGTGAGGTTAAAAGAAGGTAACAATAACAAATAGATACATTTATTAGTTTATCCATCAGCGAGGCATCTCACATTCAAAAAGATGAAAGAGACAAAAAAAAAAACCACATCACTTATGCATTATCATAGCACCATAAACTCGAGGTTTGAATTAGGTTGGGATGATCCTGAACGGCACTTTTGGTGCATGTTGATAAGCTGTGTTTGCAGTACAGCGTTGAAGAGGAGCAATCATAAAGGGAGTAACGTTTTCTAGCGGCAGGTAATTTTAAACGTTTCTATCAGCTCAACAAAAATCAGCAAGCACACAAACTGTTAGTCACACCGTGTCTGTGAGGTAAAGGTCCAGCTGCTGGATTTCACAAAATGAGAGCTAACTTCACTCAGAGATGGAGAAAGACGTAAGAAAGACAGGACAGGAGAGGAAGAAGATGGGTTAGATTTAAAGGTAAGGGCTGCTCAGTGACATTTGATAATCTGCAAATTTAAAGATTGCATGTTAGTCCTAATTTTTAAATCAGATATCAGGTCTGTATGGTGTGAAGTTTTATACTGTTTCATTTTGTAAAACGTTCTGCAAAACAAGCTGAGATCTACAGCTTTGTTTTATTCAAAGGTTGTGTGAAAATGCTGTGCAGTTTAGTGCTGGATAAACAGTAGTTTGCACTATTGTGATGGATTCACATAAAGCTCTGAGCTCCTGGTCAGAGTTCGGTTACACAGCAGAGATGAATTCAAACTTAAGCTGATGATGAGATTCACTCACTGAATTTAACTGTATGCTGTGAGTGTAGGGGAAGGACATCAGCCCAGATAGCTTGTGAAATATTTTTGAATTTAACTGTGATCACAGGCTGTGCACTAAGACCATCTGCTGGAGCTCACAGTAGAAATGATTGAGCAGCAATTCTTGTCCCCACACTGAGCTACTACAACTGAACTTGGGGTTCCTCCACCTGCTGAACCCCACTTATACTTCCATGCATTAATATTATTTTATTATTACATTAATACAGCATGAGGTTCAGTTAGCTTTGCATAATAATATCTGATAGCATTGTCCTTTAAACAGCTACTTTTTACTTAATTACTTTGAGTACATTTCAGAGCCGGTACTTTTTCACTTTTAGTTGAGAAAAGAAGTTGACTTCCACCAGGGCAATTTTTTAAACACATATCTTCACATCACAGTAAAGAATGTGTGTGTTATAGTGTTTAAGGTGTGGAAGCATACAGTGACTGACAGATCTCTACTCTTTGTGGCATTTTTCTAACCCGACAAACCGGATGAATCCCGGGGGGAAAAAAAAACCTCCCCAAGAAGTTTCTTTGTTGTTTTTAGGAATTTATTTCTGTTTAATTTAATTTACCCTCCTGAGTCTGAATAACATCACTCAAAAAAAAAAAGATTTGGTGTCACTCCCATTTCTTCTTGTTGAATATGGTTTTATGACATTTTTCAAATGCGTCATAATATATACACACACACACACACACACACACACACACACACACAC